TATGTGAAAGATTTATTTTCGGTGATGGTGCAGGCGAGAATTCCTCTAGTCTATGTGATTGGTTATGATATGTTGCTTTCCTGTGCAATCGCGGTTTCCGTTTTAAGATCCTTTGCGCTTTGTGCCCTAGGATACCAACAACTTGAACATTTCAAAGCTTTTCAGTATGGGCTTGCCATATGTAATGGTTTCCATCGTTTCGAATGGATGGGGGCCTCAGCGGACCGCTTTGAAATTGGAAGTTTTGATGCACTGGTCTGGAGACCAGATTTTCCACGTGAATGCAACAGTATTTGGCCGATGCACCATAAACTGTTACGACGGTTTCAGTGGCAATCTTTATCAGCCTGTATAACTCCAAAGAAATCCGGGCCTCTTATATGCTGAGTGGCCAGGTGCTGTAATACGTGTTCGCAGAAACGAGCGGGTTCTTCTTAGCATAAGATCAAGCGAAAGCCTGGTTGCGAATATTCGCGACAGTTAGCTTCAGTTGCAGTAGAATAGCCTTCCCTCTATAGAGATCACATTCTCATGTAGAACGCTCGGGAGGCTCTCCGGACATCTTCTCCTCATGCGGTGAACAGGAACTGCAGCGCAGAGGGATTGATCAACAAATAAATGCAATGCTGCATGTACCCTTCTTCCTTTTCGAACGCATTACCCTTCCCGCAGACCACGTCGCTGCTGTAACCTTTGCATATTTACCCCTCCTCCCGCGGAGACCGAATACGATGCTCCGTCGCATATTCCGCGACGTATGTTCAACCGTGTCTTTATGAGATAGTTGTCTATTGCTCATTCCTTACGCATACGTTTAAAAAGAAGCAAGATCACGAACTGCATCGAAAATCCAACCCAGTCCCACTGCTATGAGTTCGCTCGCGTACCTGCTGCGCCATCGAAGCACTGCAGCGGATGTGTCACGCGGAGTTTACAAGAAGTGTGAGCAGGGAGTGCTCCAATTGGTTAAGCACAGTGGCGAAAACGGTTCGTAACATCTATCCAAGAGCGTTCAACAAATTTGAAGAGCCACCGATATCAGCGCCCAAGACCCTTCCAGGAATACACATCTCATCCTGGACGGCCATAGCGAGTTGGTATCCTTCCCTCGTGAGTTAGGGAACGCTCGATCAAAATCTTTTCACGCATCATTTTCCATCTAGTACGAATACCAACGAATCACGCCGTGCCTCAGTCTTCAAAAGCTGAACGATGCGCGGTAATTCAGAAGTAACGGTAATCGGTCGGTCAAGAACAAGTCTGAGGAGAAACGCTTGGCCCACGATTCAACACCCCTGCAATAACTTTTTCTAGAGATCCATTCTTTTTCTCCCAATAATCCAGTAGTCTGCGTTTGGTAAAGAAGCAACTGCCGGTATCCCAGCTATATCATGGAACAGAGCTCGCAGACTCCTAGAGAGACGTTAGCTTCACTGGTTTCAGAGTAAACTTCAGCAAGACAACTTACTTCTTCAGTAGAGCCATCACATAATCTCCGGCTATCCATCTTGTTCAGTTCACGTGGTTTCGGCAGCAGATCCGGCAGGGCTAGTGGCCCACTCTCAAGTAACGGTGAAGTAACCTTAACAAAAGCAGAAAGCTGATTGGAGTGAGAACAAGGAAATGAACAGGGTAACAGCCGGTCAAAGGCTCTGATCATGCTAGCCCGCGATTAGAGTAAAATATTGCAAGGGTGGGCCGATCGAAGCACCTTACTCAATCGACAAGGAGCACCTACCTTATTTCTCCAATTTTTGATCCACTAGATGCAATAGAAAGGTAAACTTAATAACAAGCTGGAAAGAATGACTTGAAGTGGTAGCTATATCAAGGAGATGGCTGTATCCGGGAAAGACATCCATTCATTGCACAACGAAGTACTCACAAACTTGCATTTATGCACTGACACATCGAGCTCCGCCCCCTGAGCCACGATCACTTTTGCGTATTTTGCGAAACTTCGGTCGAATGTTTTACTCTTTGGACTGCTTCTGTTAGCTTGGCCATGGGAGAGAATCCGCCCATTTCCACGAAAAAGTTCTAGTTGGAAAGTTAGTCCCAACCGTTGTTATCATTATTCATCAACTCACTGTCTCGCTCGTATCTCGGAACAAAAAGCATGTAATGATTGTTTCGAGCGACGAGCGAAACCTGACCTGCCAATATGACGCATTTTGCGGAAATGGGCGGCGAGCGGAACCACCTGTAGAAGCCCAAAAACCCATAAGATTCGAAAAAAAGATGAAAATTCTGCAAAAAAGACGCAAAAGCGGGCCAGGCTGAAGGGGACGGACGCTGATATGAACTATGCCTTCTTTGCAGAATAATTATCTGAACGGAGTTATGAGTCTGTCTAAATGAAAGGACAGGAGTCAGGCGCGGTTGATAAGGAATCTGCATGAATGGACCGCGAAGCGCATTAGCCAGGAAAGGCAATATGATACAGTGGTAAGAGTCTTGGATTACATGTGTGAGATGGAATTTGGGTTCTGTGGGAGACAATTTTCTGCGTTCTGTAAGGAATGTTTCTTTGAATCTAGAGAGCACTTTCAAGCGTTGATATGATCGCACTTTACGAATGCAGCCGGTGACCTCGATGATCCAACATTCTTGGGCACCTGCTGCATACGAGAAATCATTCGCGTACAAGTGCATGTAGCGCACGCCACAAGCGTATGCGCGCAAAACGTGTCATACTAGTGTCCATGAAGCCAAACTGGAGATTGTATCTGTAGCCGAATAGGTGTTAACATGAACTGGACGCAACGCGTGCTCCGTTTCACCTTTCGAAGTCACGGCAAAATGCCAGAATTGGCTAGAAACTTGTATCTAGGCGCTGTTTGACCCGGTAAACACGAACATGGTGTTCGCTTAGCGAAAACGCCTGTATCGCGCGCCACGATCATCTAAGCACCCATATATTCTTCGAATATCAGGAGGCGTCCAGCGCAGCAGTAACTGCATGCAAACTCTTTTCCAGGCAAGTTTAGGTAAGCACTGATGTAGTAGTGATGCTAGAACCACTTTTTGTCATGTTAATGCAAGAAGCAAAAAAATAAAGCCTGGCAGTGATTCGACCTCATGACTGCTGGCAGGCGTGTAGGAAAAAGCTCCAAAACTCCATTCAGAAAATTGCTCTGCAAATTTCGAAAGCAGATTTGAGATCAGCGTCCAAAACCACGTCCGTGAGCTACATCTCACTGCGTACCACTTCGACTTGGCGACCATCCTTAGTAAGAGTGGTGGGGCATCCAGTGTGCGGATTTGTTTTGCTTCGTCAATATAGACGACTCCTTCGGTGTGCCGTGCTCTGAGGACGTGACATCGCTCATATTCTGGTTAACCGTTTGTGCTTCTCGTTCAGACGATCCCGGCTTGTTTTCCTTTCTCAAATATTGCACTCATAAGGCAGGTTGTCGAAGGGCATGTCAAGAAAGTGGAGTATTAATCATTGAGATCAGCGAAAAAGGAAGTCCAAGCCAAATAACAAGAGATGTCTCAGAATTTCGAGGTTCTCCAAGAATTTCTCGAGCAATAAATGTAAATAATCTGGGAATGACGGGACAACTTGAGATATGGACAGAGCTCTCTCTATAGTGGGCTTTCTCTATTTTTATTCATTCTTGGATTCTTGACCTGAATAGGAGTGATGTGGATGTTTTCGCGCTGAGCGATGACCTTCGTGCGGTAGAACCTCCGCCGCAACGTTGAACTAGTCCTAATTGCAATGTTGAGGACCATCTGTGTTTTGGAGTGTTTTCTTCTTCCAATATTCTTTTCTGATTGTTTCTAATTGGACCCCATGACAGCCTCGCGCAGTCGCTACCCGTAATCTAATCGATACCCGTAACCTAATCTAGCTTTGGAAATCACGTGCTCCTTGACTGCACGTAAAGCGGTTTTGCAGTTCCACCTGTGCTTCGTCCACACAAGCTTGGAAGAAGTTCATAGATTACATTTGCGGTTACGCAACCTCCTCCAACTGCCAATACATAGCTTATACGGCACAGCCTCAGTTTTTAAACGCGGAGGTTGCAAACTATACACACTCACTTTAGTGAATGTAATCTCTTCATGATGCCTGGAGGTGATTCCTTCATACGAAAGTTATCACAAGAATGCTGAGTTGTGCCTTCGAGCACTCACACGTAAAAAG